GGCCTAGACCCTTCTTCAGAAATCTGATGAAGGGTCTAGGCCCGAAACGTCAGCCTTCCTGCTCCTCCAATGCTGCTTGGCCTGCTGTGTTCATGCAGCTGTGCACCTTGTTATTTATGATATGGCATCTGTTTTAGAACTAGTAAAATATCAAGCAAGACGTTATTTTACCATTCAGTGCCACCCAGGAGAATTTATTTTGGTTTTGTTTGGCAGGTCTCAGAATTTATCCATGGGAGTTATCGCAATCTTCAGTTAATGTTAGAGGATCTCTTTTGTTTGTTTGAGGTTCTACATTTCTCATTTCAGATATTATTGCACCAGACCAAGAGAATCCTTGACAATTTTGTGATCCAAAGTCTTATGATGCATATGTTTTTTTCAAGATTTGTAAGATCACACTTTATTGTTCAATTCACTAAAGATTCTTTCCTGACGACTTTGCAATTTTACTGTGCATTTGAGCAGAAAGGCCGGTTTGCCAGCCTGAATTCAAGCGATAAATGGTCAACCATTATCCACCATTAACTTTTCAGTTCCTCAGCAGCTGTGAACAACAGCTCAAGACTTACTACCAATGAGATTAAGACGGAGTCTTTGGTTACAGGAGAAACAGGGTGAAGACTGGGGATGAGGGAGGGGAGACAAGAACTCTAATTAGCATTAGAAAAATCTGATATGGCTACCCAAGAGGACAGGGTGGGGTAGGGGAGGTAGGGGCGAAGGGGGCAGGTGGGGAAGTGAAAAGACTAATGTTTCAAACAGAAAACATCCTCAAGCACAGGAATAGTGCAAAAGGAAACCAAACTGAGTTCTGTTTTCTCACCAAGTTTCAACTGCTGCAGTTGCCTGCCCCAATTCAGAAACTGATGGAGACATCCAACGCCACATCCATTTCAGCCACAAAGTGTGCACATACTCACAAAAAAATTTGCAAGACTGTCATAAATTCTGCTATGTTGCAGACACCTTCTTCGGTTTATGCACTCTTATTTCCTGTGCATCCTGAAGCTGACTCAGATTGCATATTTCACTCGCTCAGTAACAAAACCCAAGGAAAACAGGAATGTTCCTCTTGCAGAAGAATTGGTTATTGTATCTTTCCCACACGCCCTCAGACATGCTTCTCCAATCTTCCAGTGAGTAACATTGTACATTTTAATGAGATTTTGACCAGGCAACCCATTCACCTGCTTTAATTGACAGACTTTAAGTAAGTGTACAAAGTTTAAATTATGATTGGTGTCAATTCCATCATTAAAATTTGTCTTTAAGTAATACAGGATGCTTCCCAATTAGCTTTGCTTAGCTCAAAGCATGATCTCAGAAACGTGAGTATTCCCCTCTCCTTCATCATTAATGAGAACCGACTCCCACTGCTCTGTTTTAGTCATAGAGCTGTACAGCACAGAAACATACCCTTCAGTCCAACTCATCCATGCTGACCAGATATCCTAAATTAATCTAGTCCCACTTGCCAGCATTTGGCCCATATCCCTCTAAATCCTTCTGATTAATGTACCCATCCAGATGCCTTTTAAATGTTGTAATTGTAAAGCCTCCACCACTTTCTTTGGCAGCTCATTCCATACACACACCACCCTCTGAGTGAAAACGTTGTCCCTTACGTCCCTTTTAAACATTTCCCCTCTCACCTTAAACCTATGCCCTCTAGTTTTGGATTCCCCTAGCCCGGGGAAAAGACCTTGGCTATTCACCTTATCCCTGCCCCTCATGATTTTATAAACTTCTGTAAGATCACCCCTCAGCCTCCAATGCTCCAGGGAAAATAGCCCCGACCTAGTCAGCCTCTGCCTATAGCTCAAACCCTCCAATCCTGGCAACATCCTTGTAAATCTTTTCTGAACCCTTTCAAATTTCACAACATCCTTCCTATAGCAGGATGATCAGAATTGCACGCCATATTCGAAAAGTGGCCTAACCAATGTCCTGTATAGCCGCAACATGGCCATCCAACATCTTTACTCAACACACTGACCAAGAAAGGCAGAATACCAAATGCCTTCTTCCCTATTCTGTCTACCTGGGACTCCACTTTCAAAAAAAGTATGAACCTGCACTCCAAGGTCTCTTTGTTCAATAACACTCCCCAGGACTTTACCATTAAGTTTATAAGTCCTGCCTTGATTTGCCTTTCCAAAACGCAGCACCCCACACTTATCTAAATTAAATTCCATCTGCCACTCCTGGGCCCATCTGATCAAGGTCCTGTTGTACTTTGAGGTAACTTACTTTGTTGTCCTCTACACCTCAATTTTGGTGTCACCTGCAAACTTACTAACTATACTTCCTACGTTCATGTCCAAATCATTTATATAAATGATGAAAAGCAGTGGACCCAGCACCGATCCTTGTGGCACACCACTGGTCACAGGCCTCCAGTCTAAAAAGCAACTCTCCACCGCCAGCCTCTGCCTTCGAGCCAGTTCTGTATCCAAATGGCTAGTTCTCCCTGTATTGTATGTGATCTAACCTTGTTAACCAGTCTACCATGAGGAATCTTTCGAACGCCTTACTTGAGCCCATAGAGATCACATCCACTGCTCTGCCCTCATCAATCCTCTTCTTCAAAAAAACTCAATCAAGTTAAAGAGACATGATTTCCCACACTGTGTTGTTTATTGATTCTCCTCTTCACATCCCACATTTCACATTCTTCAGTAGCAAATATTCCTGACCTGACCATTTAAAGCTTGTGCACTGTATTGTACAATAATAGATTACCTTGATTGGTCAGTATTGGAAGAAAAAGAGCATAATATGCATGTCAGGATATGAATTAAGTGCAGAAGCAGGCTATTTGACCTCTTTCACTACTCCACCATTCAGTAAGACCATGATTGCACTGTTAAACCTTTCCCACACCATTCGCTTTCACTGGCTCAGAAAGAAGTACACAAGACTGTTTCTCAATGCCAGATAAAAGAACATTAATATTACTTAACATCCACAACATTGGCTGGTTGGTCTCAAGTTGGCTATGTGGGGGAGTTCGTTGTAGCAAGCTTTCAGTACCTGATC